TACACTTCCTCTGTTTCCTCTCCAAAGACTGACTTGCATCACATGGGGCCCTCAGATGTCCTGTCTCCTCAAAATAACAGAGGATGTGTAGGTGGACAGCTGAGCCGGAGAACACACCAGACCAATGTGATTTAAAGTCTGCTGGATTCCCATCCATACCGAGCTTCAGGTGACCCATTTGTTCAGGTTGGAAAATTCCTCGGACCTTACAGCTGGAAACTCAGTCTGATTGAAAACGTCTCTTTTTTTTGCCTCTGTGAGGGCAGAAAGTGTTTCCCCAAGTTAAATGACAAAACCAGGTGACGGCGGACTCAACTTTTTCTCTCCTTGGTGATCTTTAAGTATAAAACCTGCAGCTGAGAGCTTTCTGGTTCATAATAATTACCTGAAATTCAAGTTTTATTGGAGTTGAAACAGTTCCAGTGTCTAACTTGAGGAGAGTTGAGCACAGGAAGAGGTTTTGTATTTTATGCTCATTTTCATCTTGTTCAAGGATTTGGTATTGTCGACCTGGAGTTTTATGGCTGTTCCAGTTCATTAGGTTTAACAGCCCTGATTAGAAGAAAGTGAAGAGAAACTGATTCATGGTTGCAGAGGAAATGAAACGGTGTCAGACAGGTGCAAGTCCTCTCTTTAGAGACGTGATGAAATGAGGAGGGTCTGAAGCTAAATGTGGTGTTTTAACAGCGTCCTGAGGGACTAATGAGACGTTCTAACACTTAGAGGATTACGTTGTCCCTCATTGTTGGACAAACAGCATTCCAAATCTTTCCAGGCGTCTCTGGTGGTCCAGACGATTCTAATGTCAGTCTGCTGTTTGCTGGATAAGACAATGTATATCCAGTCTGTGTTTATGTGAAAGCAAACATGCAACCTAAGCAGCAGCCTGACTTTTTTTCGTGCCTGGTTGTCAGTTACACTGACATGTCACATTCTGTTTTCTCAGATTACACATTTTAATGTCAATTTCATTGTCTGTCTCTGCACTTACCACCAGTCTGAGAATTCACGGTGAGGATTGAGGAGTTCTCATTGCGTGTAAACATTGTTTTTCCTTCCTGTGAATCATTCCTGGAATTATATGGTCTGACTTAAGGACATGTCTGGTGTGAGAGGGATGTCCACCACAAGTGGTTATGCCTCTGTCCAAGGTTTTTGTTTTCATTGTACTTTGGTATTTCTTGTGTGGATTTAAAGGTTTAATTTTTAAACATAAACAATTATTTAATTTAAATGATTTCCATCATGTTCTTCCACTGAGTGACCACCTGCTGGAGCTGACCTCTGACCTTGACTTCTTTGATCCAGTATTTGGAGAATGTGATCTGCCCTACTTACCAGCTGTGTTTAAGACCTGTTTGGATGGTGAAGCAGGACAGAGTCAGTGCAGTAATGATGTTCTTAAGCAGTTTTCTCTTTTTTGGAAACAAAGAAGTAATTATTTTCCAAATTTTAGAGTTGCCTAATCACATCAGGAGATATTCAGGATCTTTCCCCATGAAAATGTCTTTGTCTGCACTTTGTCCCATGGAGACCACTGTTGGCTGTTTTGACTCCTGACTCTACTAGACGTTGCCAAACATTATTTTATAAGTTAGTTATTGCTGGCTTGGGGAAAATGGAGAGGAAATCTGTAAAAACCATAAATCTTATTTCTGGATTTTGTTGTTGGTGCAAAATGTACTTTTTGTCACTGCGTAAAAGCAGCGGGCTAATGTTTGCCTTTCCTCTGGATCTCCTGTTTCTGGTTGTCAGTTCAACCCAGTCTGTTTTTAGGCCTGTCTAATCGAACCCAGAGCAGCTCCAGGGACACGGAGAGATTCTCGTGTGATAGTAACTTTGGCTGCTGGTCCTGAAGTGGCTGCCAGTTTGAAGGAAGGAGTTTAACAGATGAACTATTCTGTGCATCACTGCCTTTATTCAATTTCCTTTTGCCCTCTAGTGACTGTAACTTTTTCTGTCCTAAATTCTTGATGACAGTAATGTTACAAAAATCTTCAATATGAGGACAGTATGACAGAGGACATATTTTTATTGGGAGTAAAGGAAGTTCAATTTGAACAAATCCATTTACTGGGACATGTGTAGAGTTTGTATACAGATTTCTATGGTTTCACAGAGAACTTATTTTTAAATGTGATAGGCTCCTTCATAGACTGAGGTGTATAGTGGTAAGCTTAGTTATGAGGTCCTTAGTCAACCAGGTCAATTGACACCGATACTGTATGACTGACAAACTACCCTCACTTATTAGTAGGAGCAGCAGGTCATTTAAAAAAATCAATCAAAGAAGAATCAGTTTTTATGACATAACTCCACATTTGTCCTCATCCTCAGTATTTATGTTGCTGCTGCAGCTTCTTAAAATAAACAGTTTCTGTTAAGAATATTACTGTATACAGCAGGGGTCACCAACGTAGTGCCCAGGGTCACCTAGTAGCTCCCATGGTCTACCTACAGACAGTCACAAATTGTAGTTACGCTTGTGCTTTTTGGATCAGTTACACTTGAAATGATGATCAAGTTGGTAGCTTTCTTTTTTCTTATTATTACGTTGTTCAGGAAGTCTGTATCAAACAAGTAGCTCTTCATATTTGTATTAAGTACCCTTGAAGTAGCTCTCAGTTTCAAAAAGGTCGGTGACCCCTAGTACACAGTATTCACCCTCAGACCAACATACGGTCACAGGCCGTTCTCTCTGTTTTATGGTCATCTGGCTGCTGACGCTCCACTTCCTCTCTAGACCAGGGGTGAGTTACAGTAACACCGCAGCTACAGGCTGTAGGTGGAGACTGTGAGCCACTGGGTCCAAACACGATTGGTTTCAGTATGGAGACTCTCGTCTGGCTCCAGTCCTGGAGCAGCGGTATATTTCATGTGTATGTCAACTCTCCAGTTTCTTTTTTATGTTGTTAAAATTGTATTTTCCTGGACTGTCGTTATTTCATCATTCATTGTTTCCTGTTCCAATTCTAAAAGCCAAACGTCAGGTCTGGTCTTTCTTCGCCCTTGAAATGTAGTTATATTTTCTAGGTAGCATTTTTAAGAACTAGGCTTCCTGTTAGAAAAATGCACTGTTCAATTCAATGAAAGAAACTTTAATAGAGTTTAAAGCAGTCAGAGTGGAGAAGTTGCTGTTTTTGATATCCATTAAAAAAAAAAAAGAAAAAGCACAGACAAGGCTTGACAGACACAGACTCCTGTCGGCAACAGTGCAGGTGGAACACTTTGGATTTCTGTGTATGATGTGGGTAACTGGGTGTGTTTTGGTGCCAGCAGTCAGTGCCTGAATTTCAGTGAATGAGCCACGGCTGGGTTGAAGCAGAGTGGGGGAGTGTGGTCAGGTGCCAGTTTGTCTTTGGCTCAGCAGTGGAAATCCACACCTGGTCTCTGATGTTGCTGTGACTAGACATGGTAGATCTTCTGCTGGTTATACAGGGAGTGGAACCATCAACAGAAACTCTCTGGACTGGAGCCAACAGGCAAAGACAGACATAGAAATGAAGCCAGGAGTTTTTGGTTGCATGTCTGTCAATAAGAACTCCGAGCGTTCCTGCTAGTAATCTGGAAGGAAGAGAAAGTACGTCTGTATGTCTTTTGAAAGGCTGATTTCTTCAGTTTGTCATCTTTTAGAAGTGTCTCTCCACATGAAGACACTTTGTTGATCAACATGTCATTCTGTCATATAGTAGTTCCGATCTGTCATAGTCATCTGTAACTGTCCTCAGGAGGCCGTGTTTATTTTGGAAACTTGAACAGTTTATTCCCCAATTATGGCGAGGAACTCTTGGATGTACATGACAAATAATTATCTCCCAGATTGATTTAATTAGT